TGGTGGAAATGCGAAGGTGAGAAAAAAGTAGGTGATGTGAGAGAGACTGGGGCAGGAACATGTTCAGTGCCAAGGTACAGTTTAGATTGGATGTAATGTGAAGAGAAGTCACAAAAGTGATACTTCTGTTTCTCACTTGAAACCAGATAAATTATGAATTATGATGTTATATGTCAAATCAGGAGACATTAGAAGAGGACTGAGTATGTTCTGGTGGGGAGGAGGTTCTGTGTTGGATGAATTTGTTGTGAGATGCTTTTGAGGAGATATCAAGGTACCAGTTGGATGCACAAGTCTGAAGCTCAAAGTATAGGATATAGCTGAAGATGGAAATGTGGTTATTGATATACAATGGTGACAAATGAAAATGCATGTGGAGGAAATTATCTAAGAAGAGTATATAGCATGATAAAGTCAATGTTTAATGTGAATAAAGAAGGTGGACCTGCAAAAATGACAGAGGGAATAACATCCAGGAAGGTGAAAGGAAAACCAATTCACACAAAGCAAAAGAAGCAAGTGTTTTGAAAAGGAGGGCATGGTCATCATGTTCAATACATCTGAAAGGTATAAATGATGATTACTAAAAATGTTCATTATATCTAGCAACAGGCTGGTAATTGGATACATTAGCAACAGCAATTTTGGTGAAAAATCAGGCAGAGGTCAGAGAATGGGTTGTAGAATTAATGGGATAGGAAAAAATGGAGTAAAATTAAATACAGAAACTCTTCTCAGTAAATTAGCTGTGTGGTGAAGAAGAGAAATGGGTGGTAGCTGGAGGAGGTATGGTGTCAAAAAGGTGTATTATTTTTAATTAAAAAGATTTAATCATATTCAAAGGCCAATGAGAAGGATCCAGTCGAGAAAGGATTAAATGAAACCCGAAACTCTAATTACATTTTCCCACTAAAAGGAACTTTCAGCAATTCTGTAAGCTTTCTAATAGCCTTGAAAAAGCCTTTCCTGCTGAAACTTACTGGAATGAATTTGTTGTCATCTATGAAAGCTGACCAATGCCAAAGGCCACTGTGGGATGTCTCAATAAACAAGCAACAAGCTTGATGGTGGCTTTAGGGTCAGAGAATGACATTCTTCAATTAATGATTGTGGATGTGGAGCAATGGTGATAATAAAGTTTGAGTATGACTACAGGAGAGACTGGATGAAGTTTATTGGAAGAAAAGTCCCTTGGTAGCCAGGAGGTCAAGAATTGAAAGGCCAGGATATCAAGAGGATTGTCAATGTAAATAATGAAGTCCCTAGCAGGATTAGGTCTGAGAGTAAGAATCTGAGCCATATGCCAAAGTCTTCAGTCATCTACAGAACTGATTTGAAGGTCAATAAATGACAAGAGTGAGGTGAGAAGAATGAGATTTAGCCAAGTAAACAAGAAAGAAAGTTATTGAAGAAATCAAGGAAGTAAGGGAAACACCAAGTCTACTCCTGGCCCCAAGAAACACAATCTGAAATTACAGTCACCACTTCTATGCTGCAGAGAAAATGTTCCAAGGAAGAAGACAGAATTAAGGTAAGCCTAGGAAGTGAATCAAAAGCTCAGAGACATGGTGAGAAATCTTAGGAAGTTTGCTAATTGCCTATATCAATTCCAGAGATGGGGAGAATTGGAGAACTGGTCAGGAAAAAATTAGTGTTGGATGGAGGGACAAAACATGGCTGGGAAGAAGACTGGACTTATACTTTGGTACTGATTGCAGGGATTAGAGGATATAAACTGGTTGGTCCATTTAAGGGGAGTGGGTATGGATCTACTGGCCAGACCTGACTCAGATGGCAGGGTGATGACTCTCCCAGAGGTCCAGACTCCACGTGGGTGATCAACCTGCCCTGTCTTTCTTCCTCTGTCCCATGCTCCTACCTGCTACCTGGTTCTCAGTCTCCTCATTGTTCCAGGAACCCATCAAGCCCATTCTGCCTCTGTGCAATTACTCATCCTGGTTCCCTAATCTGTCCAGTGACATCTAGTCCAGGGGTCAGCGAACTATGTCCCAGTTCAGAGACTGTGAAAATATATTACTATCTGGCCGTTTACAAAAAAAAAAAAATTGGCTGACCCCTTATCTAAATCACCAAATTCTACATATCCAAATTAGAGCAAGATCTACAATGTGTTTTCTTTCATTCAATTAACCTGGTAATTCAAGTCTTTGAAAATGGTTGCAAGAGTATTGTTGAATAGAAACAAAATGTTATATCCAAGAAGTATTTCCTAATAATAATTTCTAATATCAAAAATAAAAACTGTTCTTCCCACACTGGAAGAACAGTTTATTATTCCAATTCTCTAAGTCTGTAGCAGCTATACTCTGTGTCACACAGTTTAGCACTTAATTGTATACCATGCTTTTAGAAAATAGCACTTATGGGGTTTTTTTGGTTTGTGTGTGGGTTTTTTAGTTTTTTTTTTTTTTTTTTGGAGATAGAGTCTAGCTCTGTGGACCAGGATAGAGTGCCATGGCATCAGCCTAGCTCATAACAACCTCAAACTCCTAGGCTCAAGAGATCCTCCTGCCTCAGCCTCCCTAGTAGCAGAGACTATAGGCATGCACCAGAACACCCAGCTAATTTTTCTGTTTTCAGTAGAGATGGGGTCTCTTTCTTGCTCAGGCTGGTCTCAAACCCCTGACCTCAAGTGATCTTCCTGCCTTGGCCTCCCAGAGTGCTAGGATTTTGTTTTTTATTATTAAAGTTGTGTGATCATCACAGAATATTTGGAAAATACAGAAAAGCATAAAGAAGAAAAACATAAATTATTCATCCTTTCTCCATACATAGAAAACTATTACAATATTTTGGTGAATACACTTCCTATCTTCTTCTATGTATTTGTACACAGAAATAAGAGTAATATGTATTACAAAATAGTGATCATAGAGATTCTTCCTTGTATGGGTATACATGAATATTTATAACCAATTCTTTCCTCATAGGTATCTCAGAAATTCCAAATATTTTTACTCCTATAAATAATTCATCATACAAATCTCTGATGATTTCCTTAGTAAAGGTAAACACCATCTTATTCTTCTTTGCTCTAATCAACTCAATGTGATAATCTAATATCCCCAATCCATTATAAACTCCTAGAGGTCAAATTATAAAATATATCTATAAACAAGAAAAGATAAGGCAAACAATGTGCATTTGCTATCATCAGCTAACAGTTCCACAGTAATTTTAAAATGCTATTTGGTCTTTCACTGCAAGTTAGAATCTGATAACACAATTGAGAGAATAAATATTACACTTACAAGACAAAAGAGAAAAATGGGTTCACATTTATCTTTAAATGACTGCAAAGTCACAATGTTGTCAGCTTCTGCCTGGAAAGAAAAGTGTAAATATTTCATATAATAACAACGGAAACTTATATCCAAGTCATTTGAGACACTCGGTTCAAATGATGCAGAGATACATACAATTTTTAGGTTTACTGCAACGTTTTCTGGGTATATTAATAGTTATTGTAAGGATCCAATTGCACATACTGGTAATTCAAGCCCTGCGTCATTTGGCCTCCACCTAACCTCCCTGTTCCCCATTATGGTACCCAACCTTCAGCCAAACTCACCTGCCCTTTCTTTTCCACCCTCAGTGCCTGGTCCTGACCTTACCAGCCCTACTCAAGTGTCCTTCCTCCAGTAAGTCTGTCTCACCCTGTCCTGCTGCCACCATCTCCTGTTCCACACAGCCCTTTGCTACCCCTCTTCCAGGACACCTACGCCCCATTTCCATACCCTCCTACACGTGCATGTGGGCCTGCCACATCTATGAATACTTTGTCAGCAGGAGAGCCGTGTGCACAGATGGAGTGTGCTTCAGATCCACATTTGTATCTCAGCCCTGCCCCCGTGTCACAGGGTCAAACATTAAAAGGAGCTGACTAAATGCTTCTGGAAGGAATTGCTAGTAAATTTTAAATTCTTTCATCTTCATGTCCACAGTTTTTAAAAAAAAAAAATTTCATATATTTCAAGTTGTCCTGATTTGATTATAAACTAACTATACACTAAATAATAGTGTCCTCTTTCACATGAAGGTAGCATCCACTGGTCAAAGCTGCCAGAACGAGATCATTTGGTAAGGTCTTCTGCAAGAGCCAGTGCGCCAGTCAGTCTGGGCTGCTATAACAAATTGCCATTGACTGGGCGGCTTAACAACAAACATTTACTTCTCACAGTTCTGGAAGCTAGACGTCCCAGATCAGGCTGAGGGCCTTCTTCTCGGTTAGGTCCTCACTTGGAAGAGATCACACGTCTCTTCCTCTTTTATAAGGGCATTGATCCTATTCTAATTATCTTTGATAGTCCCCACCTCTAAATACTGCCACAGCGGGGATTACCGTTTCAACGTATGAATTTTGAGGGCAAGTATTCAGTCCATAGCAGTTGGTTTTTGTAACCTAAGGCAAGAGTTTTCAAACTGAGATTTTTGGAGGTTCTTCAACAGCTGTCGAAGATGGTGAGGGGAGCCCAAGGAAGACTCCCTCAGCCCAGTGTCTGCAAGAGGGGTGGTGCTGTCATCTCTTGTTAGAGTATTGGAGTCTGCATAATTTTCTTTAAAGAGAAAGGTTCTACTGCTTAAAAAAAATGAGGAGGGGGCTGATAGGAACTAGTCTATGATATTTAAATACAAGATTACATTTAGAAGCAGTCTAGGTATCACCATAATAAAGTATGTATTATAATAAAGCATTAAGAATTAAATAATTTAATAATAATGTCACTATAATAAATCTTCACTGAATTTTTATGTGCATATATATATATAATGCTTAATATTAGTCTTTTTTAAAGGCAGAAAAATATTTTATACTGACCACTCAGCTCAGGGTAATTTTAATAGCTAACTGACCTCATACGTTTTAATTTTTGGACTTAATTTCATAAGTTGAGAAAAAGTCTTTTTCTTTGGTTAACAGCAGAAAACAAAATGTCCAGCAGAAGGTTGCTTATGATGGAGGTCTGGAGACTTAATTATTTTCTTTCACCTTTTATGGGCAGGTGATATCATAAAAACAGCATCAATCTATGTGAATATTTTATCATTGAATGAGTGCAAACGTAACCGAAAATATCTAAGGACACTGCATACATGTTTTTGTTGTTCAATTCAACATACTCTGGTATTATGAATAGGATGTATTTTGGAAAGACTCCACTATCACTTCCCAGTGGAACACATACATTCATAGATCCGACTCCTGTAGAGTGGGTCGAGGAATTCTGTCTGGCCCGGGTACTGCTGGGTGGACAGGTGCTGAGGCTGTGGGGTTGGGAGGAGGCACTGTGACGACCTGCATCCTCACACAGCATCTCCCTCTTCCTCAGAGCTGCTCTGAGCTGTGCTCAAAAGGGAGCCCAACACACTGTGCAATTCATTCTCCCTCCACATATAATCCTTGGCCTCCACCACCGAGCATGACCCACACACATTCCTCTGTCGTACCTACTCAGACCCTATAAACAGGAGGGACTTCATGACTAGCCCTCCCGTGCGCACAGCACCAAGTCCACTTCCTGCTTGCCTGAGGATGCCTTACTGCACTTTCCTACACCCAGGTTCCCTTCCAGGGAGCCTGGCAGGTGAAACAGGGCTTGCCTCCTTTTGTTCTCTCCCCATGGGCCCCAATTTCCTACTGGACACCCAAGTTCCCACGACTCCTAGCCTGTGTGAACTTGCACTCTTAGCACTTCTGGAAAAAATTTCCCTCATGCCAACTTCCAGGATTCACAAACATTTTCTGATCCTGGGTTCTCTGTGATCCATCTTCCAGCTGTTAAGATACTTCTGATACTGTGTTTTAACTTCTTATACCATTACCTTGTCAACTGCCTGCAGCAATCCCCTCTAGGCCCTATTTTTTGCTCTCTGAACTTGGTCTTTCCTCCCTGCCAAGAATCAAATCTAGGCCCACTTTCCAGCTCCTTTCACGTGGTTCTCACTCTGCAGAGTGAATGAAGCAAGTTGTTACAGAATCTTGTCTTTTGTAAAAGTACAATACCAAGATAATGAAAAACAAGCCACAGACTGGGAGAAAATATTAGCAAAAGAAATATCTAACAAAGGACTACTATCAAAAATATACAAGAATGCTTAAAATTCAAGGAGAAGAAAACAACTCAATTTAAAAATGGGCCAAAAACCTTAACAGACACCACACCAAAGAACCTACAGAGATGACAAATAAGCATATGAAAAGTGCTCCACATCACATCACATGTCATCAGGGAAATGCAAATTAAAAAATGAGACATCACTATACATCTACTATAATACAATGGAAAAAAATCTAGAACACTGACAGCATCAAATCCTGGCCAGGATGTGGCACAATGGGAACTATCATTCATTGCTCATGGGAATGCAAAACGGTACAGCCACTTTGCAGTCTGGCAGTTTCTTCAAAACAAAACATAGTTTTATCATATGGTCCAGCAATTGCCCTCCTTGGTATTTACCTAAATGAGTTGAAAACTTATGTCCACACAAAAACCTGTGCATGGATGTTTATAGCAGCTTTACTCCTAATTGCCAAAACTTGGAGGAAACCAAGATATTCTTCAGTAAGTTGACATATAAATAAACTAAGACATATCCAGACAATAGAATAGTATTTGGCACTAAAAACAAATGAGCTACCAAGTCATTAAAAGGCATGGAAGAAACAACTGCATATTACTAAGTGAAAGAAGACAATCTAAAAAGGCTACATATTGTATTATTCTAACTATATGACATTCTGGAAAATGCAAAACTATGGAAACCCTCAAAAGATCAGTGGTTGCTAGGGGATGGGGAGGAAACAATGAATAGGTGGAACACAGAGCATTTTTAGGGCAGTGAAATTATTCTGTATGAAGCCATAATGGTGGATACGTCATTACACATTTGTTAAAATGCGTAAAAAGTACACCAAGGGTGGACCTTAATGTAAACTATAAATTTTGATAAACAATGATGTGTCAATGTAGGTTTATCCATCATAACAAATGTATACTCTGATGCAGGATTTTGTGGGTGTGTGGGGATAGGGGATATATGGGAACTCTCTGTACTTTCTTTTTAAATTTTATTTTATTTCAGAATATTATGGGGGTACAAACACTTTGGTTACATGTATTGCTTCTGTACAGTCTGAGTCAAAGTTATGTGTGTGTCCGTCACCCATATAGAGTGCATTGTACTCATTCTGCTCAATTTTTCTGTGAACTTAAAACTGGTCTAAATTCTTTTTTAATTAAAGGGAAAAAAACTATAAAACCCTTATGTCCAAAGACAACAGTCAATCCCTTCACTCAAGACAAATGGACTGCCACTTATTCTCTTGAACAGAAAGATAATAAGAGGTGAGTTTCTAGGCTTTAGACTGTTTATTCATAGCCTTTAACTGACGAAAAGAAGTCCTGTAAAAGGTTTGTTGTCTGCAGAAGAAGATGGATAGTCAAACACAAGTTAAGGTCAGTAAGCAAATTCATTCCAAGGTCTGGGTGGAGAGGGGCTGTAGAAGCCTTGTACACAGGAGCACATGCCATGGGTTGAGGCTACATGTTTGCATCAGGGACTATGTGTCTTAGAGATAAAGAGTAAAGATACATAAATCTGTTATCTGCTTTTGCATCTTAGGTTTAGCTGGTTTGGGTATGTTTCTGCCCAACAGAAATATATAATGTAAGGCACATATACTTTAAAATTCTCTGGTGACCACATTCAAAACTAAAAGGAAATAGGTGAAAATAATGTAATAATATTTTACTCAACAGAATATATCCAAAATATTATCATTTCAACATGTAATCAATATAAAAATTATTAATGGGATATTAATATTATTAATGGACTATTAATGAGATATAATATTATTATATGATATCCCATACTAAATCTTTAAAAATCCAGCATGTATTTTATACTTACAGTACATCTTAGTTTGTATACTAAATATTCATCAGAAATAATAGATCCTTAATCAGATTTAATAACATTTACAGTCAAAAAGTAGAATCACATACTCAATTTTAAAAGTTTTACAGTAACTAAATTAGATATCAGTTTTTAAATTTAATTAAAATTAAAAATTCAGCTCCTCTGTTAGACTAGCTACATTTAAAGTATTCCATGGTGGCTACCATATTGGACAATAAAATGCTAATTAGTTGATAACTGATGTGGATAAAGTGAATAATTGGTACAACAAAGTCAACTGAGTTTGGCTATAACATTTTAATTCCTTGTCACATCTGGGTAGCAAATAAATGAGAGGAGATCACTACTCACTGGAAAATTTGGTAACCGGGTAAATGCTAGGGCACTACTCTGTGATACCCAGTAGACAGATTTGCAGCCCTATTCTAAGAGACATGCACTGAACATGTGGTCAGATGAAAGGAAACAGGCCAATAGACAGGCATCCATTTTTGTACTTTTCTAGCATTCACAATCATGGTAAATAATCTCAACGTTATAAGAACTGGATAGAAATCTTATTCATGCTCAGATATAGTAGGACTAAATGTTAATATAGCAAAACTGCCGAGTTAACATTATCTACTTTGAAGAATTAACAGGTTGTTTAAATTACAACAAATACTTAAAGTATTAGAGGCTACTTAAACACTTAAACAAGAAAATAATAGTTTAATGCAAATGAAATTCTTACAACAGCAAAATGCAGCATTTCTTCTTCGTTCAGTTCATTTTTCAATTTTCTGAATAAAGGCTGCATTGCCTTGCAAGGTCCACACCAAGCTTGGTAAACATCAATCACTAGAAGATGACAATATATGAAAGGACAGGGTTAATAAATCTAGAATAGTAGCGTATCTCAACCCTGGGGCTAGGGCACAGAGGTGGCAGGATGTCAAGGTCTAAGTGGGCATGGCACTCTGGAGGCACAGGGTGCCATGAGGTGCCCTGGGTGAAGCCCCAATGGCCGAATGATGGCAGAGGCCCATACCTGTTAAGCCTTTGCTCTGCAGCATCTCATCCCACAGGGCTTGATTATTGACAAGTATCTGCAAAAAGGAGGGCACTATAAAAGGTCTTCAAGCACCAATGTACTAGATAAAGAATTGTTAGTATGTCAGACCCACCTGTAACTGGGCTTCTTTCTTTTTGGTTGCCATTTATCTACTATCATATGAAAAAGGAAGAAAAATTTTTAAAAAGTAGAATTTAAATAATATTCTCTTTATGCATTCAAATAACATCTTAAGGCACTATGGAAATTTTCCCCCACTAAATACTGGATTATGCAGTCTCACCTTCCAAAGAGAGAGAGGAGCGAATGTCACAGAAGGACTATTGCATGCTGGGCTCTGTGCTAAATGCTTATAGCTGCTATACTATCTTTTTCTTCCAACAACCCTGAAGCAAGATAAGAATGTTAGAAATTGTAACTTGTTTGTTTTTAAAATTGTTTTGCTTGTTTTCCTTAAGTAGTACAGAGTGTTTTCTCCATTTTCATCTGCACACATGTCAATTGTCTATGAACATGCTCATGGGTCTCTCTCGGGTCCCTCTTTCTATCTGTCCACTCCAAGGATATTTAATTTTTAGAACAAGGTCACTAGTGTGTTCTGGAACATGACATAAACTTTCCACAGGTGTTAAATCAGTGGGGCCAAAATTCCCTGTTGAATGGCATCAGGGATGTGCATGGCGTGGATCTGATGGCCAGAGGGTGGTGGCAGACACATACATCAAAGGAATGACCCCCAAACAAGACTGCATCCCAGCAAAGGTGCTAAATGTTCCGAGAAGCCTTACACAGAACAGATCCTCCTCCAAGGTACAGTGGGACAATTACAGAAGAGGAACGAGCACCACCCCCATCCCTGGATCTAAGTCAGCTGCCCTACTGAGCCCGGAGCCATTGGTCGGGGGAGCTCCACGAAGTCCCAATACCTGGGGCACCGGTCAGGGCTGAGTCTGAAGTAGGCCGGGCTCCGGCTGGACTTTCTTCCCGAGCGGCTCCAGCTACAGGAAGAAGACGGATGCCTGGCCTGGCCGGGAAGGCAAAGGGCGCCAACGTTTCCTCCAACCCTCTCCCCAGCCGCGAGCCCGGCCCGCCCCACCCGTGGGCTGTGCGTAGTGGGGCTCCTGCCCCGGCCAGCGGGGACAACTAGGCAGCGGGCGCAGGAGCAGCTGGCCCCTAACATCTTCCACCTTTTCTGCCCCCACACTGAGTGAGGCCAATGAAGTCCTGTCTCTATCTCCATAGACTCTCCCTTCGTCCAGCTGGCGCCTCTCCTACCGTCTGCTCCTCAGCTCCTCTCTGCCCCCGGGCTGAGTTCTGCTCCCCCCAGTGCACGGCTGATCGAATCTTCCATCGGCTTTGAATCCTTCCGCAACTGGCCATGCCTTGCCTTACAAAGTGTATATTCCTCAAACTGGAGCAGAGGTTCTCTGAGTTCTACCCCTAGCCTTTCTCTCCAGCTTTGTCTCTTGCATCTATCCTCATTCTTAAAAACAAACAAACAACTACTTAGAAATAATTTTAGATCTATAAAAAAAAATTGCAAAACTGTACACTGATGTCCAGCTACCTTTCTTCCCTCAGCTTCACCTAAGATTAGCATTTTTCCTAACTATACTACCATTAGCATGGAATTCAGTATGTAACATTGATCCAGTGTCTAACTACTCTACAGACCTTGTACAATCTTGCAGTTTCCCTTTCCCTGATCCGGGATCCAAGAGAGAGTACCACTTACATGTAGTTGTCACACCTCCTCCAAGCTGAGACAGTTCTTCCGCCTGGTCTTTGTCTTTTACAGCTTTGACGTGTGTCCTTTTATTTCATTATGTTGTTTGTAGAATTTCTATCAAGAATATTTTTAAATAACTTTTAAAAATGTTTTAATTGTGGTTTAAAACACATACAATTTACCGTCTTAAGGGTTTCTAAGTGTACAGTTCATTAGTGTTAAGTATATTCACATTGTTGTGCATATAAGGTTTTTTGGCAGCAAAAGAAACAGAGAGTGAGAAAGAGTGGGGCCAAATAACATGGCTTTATTTAGCCCTCCCAGACAAGGTTCTGGGGTCCCAAGAGAGGGGGGACCCTGGAAGTCACATCTGTTTGAAGGGGGTGAGGCCTTTTATACCGTTTGGGCTGGGCTAGGGACTTTTGGCGGGAAGAGCTGGGATTTTCCATTGTGACCTTGGGTGGTCATTAAATAGGAGAGGCTGGCAGTATTTGTAGAACCCAGAAGACCAAACGCTCTTATCTGGGTGGACATCTGGGTGTGCTTTTTCTCAGCGGGGCCTGGCAGTTTGTCCTTGGCAGGTCTGGTCTCATGAACCTTTTCTTTTTGATCTAGGGAAAGGAGGGGTCCCCCCACCAGCCTTACAGTGCAACCAATCTCAAAAACTTTTTCAGAGAAGAAGTTCTGAAAAAGTTCTCTGAAACTGAGACTCTATACCCATTAGACAACAGCTCCCCATTCTACTTATCCCAGGCCTGGAAGTCACCCTTTGACTTTCTGTCTGTTTCCATGAAATAAGTCTTTTTTTTTTTTTTTTAACGTACTGTTGTTTTTGCTGTATGAGTAGTATCCTTTACACTTAACATGTCTTTTAGCTTGCTGTATTTTCCCTTATTCTTGGGATTCAAGTCCTCCCATTTATTGGGTCAGCTGACTCTCCTTCATGGCGATTCCTTTCCTTTTGGTGTTTGTGATTTTTGATTGTGAACTCATCTTTAGCAGGGATTGCTTACCATGTGAGCTCCTATAGCAGGACTCTGGAAGCATATCAGTGCTGTGTACCTTGGCCTGGCCCCACCAATATCTAGGCTACCAGCCCAGTTGTATGTTAATTTCTCAGTTTAGTTTTCGTATTTCACATAGACAGCTGAAAATTCAAACTCATATATATGGATGGCACAATCCTGGGATTTGATTTTCTCACTGTGATTTTGGGATACAATAAGCAATATATGTATTTTTGGTCTCTGTCCTGGGTTCCTGGAACGGAGTTCCCAAATCCCTTGTAATTTCCTAAGTGATACAGATGCTAAGAGCATATTTATTTCCAGTAATTGGTCTTTGACCTTAGTTCCTGACATAGAGATCCTAAATCCCTTGGAATTTCCTGGGTGATAGAGTATTTTGTTCTAATGAAGCTACTCTTGATAGGTTCCTGGATAGCTTTAGGATGGGGGCAGGTCACGAGAAAGACCAAGCCATGATTAGAAACTTGGAAATTTCAACCTCGCCTCCCTCATTCTCTGGGGAAGGGTGAGGGAATAGAGACTGAATTAATAATGAATGCCTATGTGGTGAAGCCTCCATAAATATTCATAAAGTATGAAATCAGAGGGCTTCCAAGTTGGTGAACACATTCATATGCCAGGGGGTGGCACATCCCAACTCCATGGGGACAGAAACTCCTGTGCTAGCGACTGTTCATCTGGCTGTTCATTTGTATCTTCTTCATATCTTTTGTAATAAACCAGTAAGCATATGTTTACTGCACATTACTTAGCCACATCCTCTCTAGTGGTCAAACTTCACTTCCTTCATTGCCCTCATTTTGTGGTTCTTTCTCTTCATTCTTCTTTAACCTGTTCCATTTTGATAGATAAGGTGAGATAGATAGATATGGCTTGGGAATTCTTTTGTGCTCACTTTTATTGGGATGGAATTCTCTAGTAATATTCATACCTGCAGTAAATGTTATATGCATAATTTCTAACCTAATTCCCTGTTTTTAGCAAGCTTCACATGTGTCACTCTATTCTCCTGAGATGGCATCTTTTTCTTTTTTGCTAGAAAAAATTGCATCTGCAGCTCCCAATATTTTGTCCTAATGCCTAGCAGTATGGAAACACACCTCCCAGAATGCAGTATACCACTTGTTGTTTGTTTTTTCAATATGCATAGCTGTTTCTTGATATCAGGCTGTTAATTATCTAATTTCTGGAGCCCATTTCACAAACTTTACTGTTTTCAGTCCAGTTCTGCTCATTGACTCTCCTGGAAAGCCATCTGGTAAACCTCTGGGGACCCTAATCTTTGGGATCATGTTGACAGCAACACAGGTGACACAAACTTTCCTTTTTAGGATCCTCTTTCTCCATAACAACTATTGTGGTGAACCACAGACCAACCAAGAGTCAATTTACTGGCAACCTGACCCTGGTGAAATAGCAGTTATGGGAAACATGTTAACGCTTCTTTTAAAACAACAGATGGCAAAGTGAAGTGAAGGACTAATACTTGCCCTGTCTTGACAGCATAATGTCCTATTAAAAAATCCATCTGTAGCTAAGTCTGCTCATCTATTTGGTCCACACCAGAGATGAAGATCTTTTCTGTAAAGGTTCATCATGTCCCTTTACCCTATAGTCATTTCCTGCATCCCAACTGACATGCAGCATCTGGAAATATTTTTTAATGAAATTTTTCTTGTTAATCCAAAAAGATATTATTGTATAGGCACCTATAGAAAGAGTTTGGCAGGTGCCATAAATGTCCATGCAAATTTTTAAGCAAATTCTTCACATAATTATTTTGATATTTAAGGGAAAACATTAATACAAAAAGAAGTTTCAATCTATTCTCAAATAAAAACAAACATTTGCCAATGGCCAATAAATGCAAAGAAGGTGCAGTTAGGTTTTCTAATGTCATTCCTGCAAAGTGCAAAAAGTTTGAATGTTGACCCTTTGAAACATAAATCTGATGAGCTTTTGCTTTGGGCCAGAATTGACTTCAAGGACAAATGCTCCGAAAATGTTGATGATATGAAAATTAATTTATGTTTTATTATAGGAGAGTGTAAGTTATAAATGCCAAGAGCCTATGAGAGATGATACTTCTGAAAGGACCTAATGGTTTGTTTTGCTCCTTGCATATATTTGACTTTCTCTTTAAGGATTTATTAAAGGCACTCTGCTATACTGATCTACAATTTTTTGCCCTCATACAGCACTATCTATAGTGCTCAATTGTTTTTCCTTGGGGTATAGGTTTATTAATGCCTAATTATTTCATTGTATGTTCTCAGGATGTCTGAATATATATGAAGACCCAGAGAAGAGGAACTGAATTGTAGAATTATTTTCACTTTACTTTCTTCCTTTTGAAGTCCTCTCTGGCACCTATCATCAACATCATAAACACTCAACAATTAGATAGCAAAATAGTGCATTTTGAAACAGTAGATATTCTTGACACATGTACTCTTTAATGAGGGTAAACAAAACTGTTTTTAAATTCAAGCAATCTGGGCTGCGTAATTACATGGATTTTAAAGAAAACAAATAGTTTAGGTACTTACTTTAAGTTCATCATTTCAGTTAGAGATAGCAAACTAACCTTCTAATTAGGATAACTTTATATAACTTTTTGTTAATTCCTATCTCCTTTAGATCAAAATGCCAGATTCTAAATTCCAACTTTGAAAGTCACCTAAATAATAATACTGAAGTAGTCTCTTTTCCCATTGTATATGAAGTTATGCTACAGAAAATAATGAAAACTCATAATAATAAAAACTCAGACTGAATGTAACTACAACCTATTGGGAACTGCAAGATTGATGGGTCTGTATTGAAATAATAATTTTGCAGTTTCTACATTGAGCAAATCTGCTGGCCTAAAATTAATCAAAAATAGGCTTTACACATCTCTGCCTGCTTACTGTCTCAAAGACTCACAGAGTTGCAATAAACCAAAACAGCAGCCATCTCTTTGCAGTCTATGTGCTGATTTGTAATGCAACTGGAGTATTATTTTCTACCCATCACTATATTTCCTGCTATATTTATGGAAGATCAGAATTCTTACCAAATAAGAAAGGCAAGTGTGAGACAGTGGAAGAATTGGCTTGTGACATCCTGAAAGTCATAAGCAGTGGTGTGCTGGTAAATGTTAACAGGCTCTCTTGGAAAAAAATGTATATAATAAAGTACTACAATTTTAACTGCTATAAATAATGTTGCACACAAATGACAAATAATTAGGAAATATATAATACCCTTTGTTTCAAATTCCATATATGCAGTTGACTTTTACAGAAAATTTTCTTTAATTTTTTGTCAAACTGTCATATCCAGAGACAATTTATGGATGCAATTCATTCATAACTTTCCAGATTCAGAAGATGAACAAATGTTTGTTTGCTACCTAATTCAGCAAAGAAGTTGCTCATGTCATCATGCATGTGTGTAATTCCAACAAGAATGTCGCTTGATATTTTAATGATATTAATGAGTTTGACAAAGTGAAACAATGATGTATATTGGAATTTCATCGATGACACAAATGACTTCTTGCTGAATCAAATAATAGTTTGCAAATACTGAAAGACTATTTCTCAAATATTGGGTGCTTTTTAGAATGTAACAACTACAGATGCAACATACTTTAAATTTTAATTTGTATTAATAATCAACAAAACAATAAATCAAGCTCTGATTGGTAGCACTGTCAGATTTCCATCATGCAAATACTGCCACCCTAGTCCATTTCAAGTTACCAGCCTGATAGATATTACTAACAAAAAAGATACCGTGTTTCCCTGAAAATAAGACCTACCCATAAAATAAGCCCTAGCAGGATTTCTAAGCATTTGCGCAATATAAGCCCTACCCCGAAAATAAGACCTAGTGATGGGCGTGGCTACACAGCATATCTGCACAACCCATGCATTTCGTTGCAGATGGTAAAGAAGATGAGTGGCCCTTCTCATCTGCCCCATTGTGACAGCTACTATCCCAGAGGTGACAGGCAGCCCCACCAACAAGGTCGGCTCCCCCTGTCAGGTCCTGGCCATCCTGTGCATCGTGCAAGCTGAGGCTTTGAGGGGAAAATAA